CACTCCCAGAGTTTCAACTAGGTCCAGGGTAAGTCTCAAAAATTGACATTTCCCTGGGCGTGGTGGCTCACGCCTGTAATCCCAGCACTTAAGGAGGGCGGATCACCTGAGGTTAGGAGTTCAAGACCAGCTTGGCCAACATGGTGAAACCCTGTCTCTATAAAAATTAGCCGGGCATGATGGCAGGTGCCTGTAATCCCAGCTACACGGGAGGCTGAGGCAGAAGAATCACTTGAACCCCAGAGGCAGACGTAGCAGTGAGCCGAGATCGTGCCATTGCACTCCAGCCTAGGCAACAGAGCAAGGCTCTGTCTCAAAAAAAAAAAAAAAAAGAATGGACATTTCTAATACTTCCTTATCCCCACAAATTTCATGATGATTCTGCTGGTCCAGGGACCACACTTTAAGAAGCACTGCCTTAGCAAATTAGAGAAGTTTTTCTCTCAGACCGTTTCAGGAAGGAAAGATAAACAGCACCCAAAGTTCCAAACACATTTCCACTCAATACTGAAATGACAGCAATCACCATAATTGTCCCTGGACCTTTTGTGGTTCATACACATTGTTCTATCTTCCTGTTTCGCACCTCACCCTCCTGCCCTCCCTCCCAGCAATCCCACATCGCTAACGGCAGCAGCCACATCTGCCCAGCATGCTCTCATCCCTAAATAGAGAAGTTTCCACTCTTGAGTCCCAGTTGAAGCTAAGGCACTCGGTTGGGATTTAGGACTGGGATGAAGACATTTCTGTCTGGCTACTCTTTTAAGCAAGACATAAACTCAGAAGCTGCTGGCAATTCCCCCTTTCCATCATGTGGACTGAGAAACAGAAGTCCATCTGTCGGTGCAGAGAGAAGCAGAAATGAGGTGGGGGAGGGGGTGGTTCCTGGGTTCCATATGGTCCTCCAGCCTCTGGCTGCAGTGGAAGACGGAGGCCCCGCTGCGTCTCTGCGCTTAGGATCCATAAGCCAATCTCAGACCCACATCTTATACTAAATTCTTCTATCCTGCCGAAACTATCTGAAGAGGGATTCTGTTATTTATAACCAAAGGGGCCCTAATTACAACTGCTAATAAAGTGAGTTCTTTTCTTCTCTGCTTCAGTTCACCTCAGAGATTAAATTCATCTTAAAACGTCACCCTACTCAAGTTAACCTGTTCTTAAATATTTCCTAGCTGAAGCTCCATCTCATTTAGGTGATACCCTAAACCAAATATCACTATGTATTTCAAATCTAGGGCCTGCTTGGATTCCTATACAAGAGGCAATTATAATTTATATGCTTCTTCAGGACTAGGCAGGAATAAATGAATATAAACCAGAAATGAATATAAATCCACTGGGTGAGCACAGAAATTTAAAAAACCAATAAACTTGTTTCAAATTAAGGTCTAATATGAAGTTTTATTTACCATGTAGAGAAATGTAAATGTTTAATTTTTCATTAATGTTTCTGCATAACTCCAGCTTTCCAGCTATGTTCCTTTTGTGTATGGAATTCATATTTTTAAATGGCATTCTCATCTACTACTTCTAGGCTCACCCAACCATGCATGATACATTTTATATATGCATTCCCATGGAAACATGTAACTTCCCAAAGAAAGAAGAGGGCATTTATCTTTCTTTATCACTTCACATCTAGCTACTTCTCTTAAGGCAGAACGGAGACAAAGCAGACAAAATTTTGTGTCGCTTTCACCCTTACATCATATCCATGATAACACAGCTGTCCCATAAGTTTGCAAGGTGACCAGACATTGCAAAACCAGAGTTTAAAGAGGACTTTGAATATCTTACACTACCTAATGTTATATATCCTCTATGTTGAACATCAAGATTTTGGTCTCCTTGAATGAAGACTTCTGGGAATTATCTTTGGCAACCATATGCTTAGCAAAAAAGTCTGATTATTTTGGCTGCCTCGTGTCACATAACAACAAGTAGTCGCAGACTTCCAGTGCTTTCCTCAGAGTGTGTTGCTTTCTTTATGGCAATCAATTTACTTGGCCCAGCTGTCAGGCGTTCAACTTCCCAATTAACAGCTGGAAATAGAACTTGAACCACAGGAAGGAAGAAAGCTCAGATTTTCCCAAACGCACACTTAATGAAAAATTGAGCCTACTCTCTAGCTCATCTGCGTTTTTCCCGTAAAACACAAATGTCAATTTGGAAAACAATATACCTACAGAGGTTTCTCCACATGGAAAAGTTCCACATGATATATGACTGGGCCAGGTGCCAAGTCTCCATCCTTAAGGAGTTAACATAAATTAATTTAAAACTGAAATGAAGCAGCCAAAATTGTGGACTAGTTTCTTCTTATTAATTCAGTGAGAAGACTGAAAGGGTCTAAACTATAGGTCACCACTTCTAATCTCAAAGAAATAAGTAACAGGGGGAAACTCCTTTTATTCCACATCTTAGAACTACTCCTTGGGTCAAAAGTGAAACAAGGAAAAGCATGCCCGATGCATCATCCTTGCATAAATAATTATCTTCACCCAACTCTTCCTGACCAAGAGGAGTTTCCCCAGCATAACAGAAGACTATAAATGAAAGCAAGCAAGGCAGGAAGCAATAGGAACGCCTGTTCACAAGAACAGCTACAAGAAACCTGTGGGGGTATCAGCCGAGGTGAACTGGTGATGCAGCCCTGACCACCTACACAGACGCTTCGGGAAATGAGTTATTACTCTTGTCTATAGAGGAACAGAAATGATCATGGAAAAGGGTGTCTGAAGACATTCAAAGTCCTTTACTTGGATGTCTTTCAGGGCATGAACAGTGAAATTGTTAAAACCACAATTTGAGGTAAGACCATATAAAGTTTTCTCCTAACCTAAATAAGGATGAGTCCTCTTTACCTTATGGCTTAGGAATGAAAAGGTATTTGCTTTTAAGTCACATGCCTATTTTTATGACAAAAAACTTCTTCCCAGTTTACCTGACCATGGCCACTAGAGTATGGCAGTACTAAGTTCCAAGTACAAATCACTCGAATGGATTTCACTGCCCTGGATTACTTCTGACTAGACCACAGCATCTAAGGGTCAGGATTGTGATGCATATCTCTGACCTAAGAGATACGCACATAGAATGCTAAGGGATTTTTTTTTTTCAGGGCAAAAAAAAAAAAAATAGTCGTTACCCTTCAAACAAGTTTTCATTTCTACATCAAGAAGCAGGGGCAGGTGCCCTTTGGAAATAGGACCATGACATCCATTCAACTATTGCTGAACCCCATAGCACATGTACTCAACCAAAGTCAACATACACATTTAGAAGGACCACTGCTGTCCACAAATATCTTTCAATGTTCATGGCTGATAGACATATTCTGTTGGAAGGATATCATTATTATCTACAAAATGATTCCATACTTGTGTCTCAAATCTCATCATGCAAAAGGATTAAGATAAAATAGTTTTCCTTAAAGAACATCTCTCCTGAAATCTCATTTTTTGCATATTATCTTCTGGTGCTACCCAAGTCTCTTCTGCTCACTTGCTTCACAGCAAACTCTGCGCTAGAAATATTATATTCTAGAATCTGATCATAAGGAGGGAGACAGGGGTCACTGTTGGATAAGGCTTCAAGTCACTGGAATGTGAAAGTGTATTCTATGGGGGAAGAATCGGAGCTATGTGGCTTCTTTGAATTTATCAGAGAAACAACAAATGGATTACTCTACACTGTTTGACATAGGAAGGAGAGTTCAAATATACAAAAAATGTGTTCACTTGACCATCCTTCATAAAAATGTTCAGCTTTTGTAACAGCAAATAGTACAATCTTACCAGACCTCTCATCTGCATAGGAGATACTGCACTATCTCTGTGACGTTTAGGAAAATGGGGCTATGATAAGGATATAATAATTGCATTATGCTTTATTTATAACAAATCATGTTACCTTGAACTTCCAATGCACTTGAATTAACGTCAAAGAAAAGAATTCTTAACCCCACCAACTGGTAAGTATAGGAATTTCAACTGTTCTGGTATAATGACTAAGTAAATCACTATTAATTTCTTACTTTCCAACCCACTAGTCAACTAGAAACACAGTCAGAATTGCTGATGAAATTACAGGTCTTAAAGGAGTCTCTCTAATGAATTTCTTGCTTTCATCCTTCAAGCACAGCAAGTTCCAAACTAAAAACGGCTTTTGATTCATATTAGCATTTTAAATATAGTTTCTAAAAATTACCCTTAAGAGGTAATGAACTAAGGATGGGATATGACTTGACAAGTATTATTATTGATAAAACCTTTCCTATCTTTCTGAAAGTCCTGTCTTTGAATTTAAAAGACGCTATGTTTTTACCTGTTTCAAAGGGACAGGGCGGATAAGAGATAACACGGGAAAAAATCCAAACTGTATAAATTTCAAATTATAAGCTATTTTTCCTACATTTAATAAGCTGAGATTACATTGAGATACTAGTAAAGAATGATTCATTAATCTTAAGAACAGGTTAATTATTGTAATACTCCATTATAAAATTCTCTATCCATAAAATCTCTTATTGCCACTCTATTGGTAATTACTTCAAGTGCCATCTCAAATGCTTATGAAGTTAAGAAAAATGTTTTTAATGGTGCTTAAAGAGTGTAGTATAAATACACACAAAATGCCAGGTCCTCTATTAGGAAAGAATAGATATTTTGATCAATTAGCAGAAGAGCTTTGAACATCATTAGAACCCATTTAAAATTATGGCCTATATCACCTTAGAAAGCAACAGTGGTTTCCAACAGTTTGCCATGACAGTCAGGAAAAGGTTGTATTTAATAAGATAGGTACACAGCTAATCTACACAAACAAACTCACATACAACACAGGAATTTAAGCCAAGTAATCTGATTGTTCCTTGAATTCACAGCAATAATGTGATATTGCCGCCATCGGGTTAATTATAATCCATGCAGGAAGCAGTCCAGTTGGCCTGCAAGCGAAATTATCAGAATGTGAATAGTTTAGAATAAATCAAGTACCTGAGAGTTTCATGAGAAGTTCAGAGGCTGCTTTGACTGACACGTCCCGCCTTAGCACATTTCCCTTCCCTTCCTGGGGCTTTAGTGTGTCCTCAGAGGCTCCTGGGGCTGACACTTCAGATTCGGGGCTGAACACATAGCTGGACCGAGGCAAAGTCGCACTCAGGGACTCCCCTTCCTTAGGTTCCTCTTTCACTTTAAAATTAAGATTCATGGGCTCCTTCTGATTTGCAGCTGTCAAAAGAAAAAAGGGATTATATATACAAAAAAGGCCACTCCCCCACTTAGCCGCCCTGGTACTTAACGAAGTATGGAATGCACAATCACACTGTGCTAACACTGGAGGGATCACAACCTCATCAGAACAGGCTGGGCCCTGGGCAAAACCACACAATATACTCCATGGGCCTACGACTCTGAAGAGTGTGGGTTTCTGAATCTTGTGAACCTAGAGTATTTTAAGAAGGGCTACCTCTACAAAGTCTCTGGGCATTTTCTCTTTGGTTTCTCTAAACATTCTTTCCTGTGTATGCCACTGCCTCCCTGACTTATTAGCACTCTCCCCACCTAATCCTATTATGAAATAATGCTTTCAGGCAATTATTCTGCCATAAGATAATGAATACAAACATGAGTCAGAGGCAATATCCAAAGCAAAAACCTGGGTGTGATGGTAAGGTGAGGATGGAGAATTTGCCAAAGAGATAAGCTCAGACTAGAGATAGACCACTGTTGCCTTATTATAAGATGACACTACTGCTGATCCATAAACAGTGGGGCATGTACTTAGCACTGTTCTTCCGATTATGGTGAATAAATCCATGTCTGTAGCCCAAGTCACCACCGAGTCCAAAATGACCTTTTTTTTTTTTTTTTTTAAGAACAGTTTTTATTTTGGAATAATTTTAGATTTACAGAGAAGTTGGAAAGATGGTTCCAAGAGTTCCCATATATCCCTCACCCAGTATTCCCTAATGTTAACATCTTACCTAACCATGGTACGTTTGTCAGAACTAAGAAATTCACATTACGATGATCTAAACTCTAGATTTTATGCAGATGTCACCAGTTTTTCCACTAATGTCCTTTTTCCATTTTTAGCACGGTTGGTTGCTGTGGAGTGTGTGGTCAGGGTAAAGCTAACTGACCTATTATGGGATGGATTCTGTGGCTTAGCCACACTGTACCACACCTCCCCCACTGGGCTACATACTACCCAGGAAAGACCAAGGAAGAAGAGACAAGCACCTCTTCCCACCACTTTTCACTTCCACAGGCATCTCACTACCTTTAACAGTCCATGAGGTGGGAACTTATGATTGGTTACACTGGATGTGTCCATCTTTTGAGAAAGAGGATCTCATACTAATACAGGATTCTTAGAAACACTTATTAGAATGAGCCTTAAGCCCATTCCATTTTAACAAACAAAAAGATGAAAATAAATCCCTAAAGCAAACATCTATCCCCCCTTGCCCACGACCTACTCCAAGCCGATACTCAAGCACAAAGTCTGTTTTCCACCTCATAACCCTGTAAGAATATGTATTCTAGAATCATAAGTTCACACAGACCAGCTTATTTGGAAACTGAACCCCAGAAGTCCAAAGTACTATTTGGAAGTTTCACTACCAGAAAGGACAGAGCTGGGACCAGAACCTAGGTCCATGGGCTTCCCACTCTGTGTCCCTTACCTGCCTCCACCACACCACCTCCACTTCTGGACTCTTGCGTTGCAATAAAACTTGAAAATACTTCATCTTCCAATTTGCTCAAATACCACCTGATCAGTGAGGTCTACTCTGATCATCCCCTCCAAAACTGCAACCACCACCTTCACCATCCTCCCAACCTCTCTTACCCTGATCTACCTTTCTTTTTTCCCTCCAAATTCTTATCATGTAATAACCTACTGTTATGAACTCAGCTGCGTCCCTTCAAAATTCATATGTTGAAGCCCTAACCTGCCAGTGTGGACTATACTTGGAGTTAGGATCTTTAAGGAGGTAATTAAGGTTAAATGAGGTCATGAGAATGGAGCCCTAATCCATTGTGACTGGTTGCACTAAAGAACCAGAAGAATAAGAAGAGAGAGAGAGAGACACCAGGGATGCAAGCACACAGAGGAAAGTCTGCACAACGACACAATGAGAAGGAGGCCATCTGCAAGCCAAGGAGAGAGGCCTCAGGAGAAACCAAACCTATTGACATCTTGATCTTAGGTTTCTAGCCTCCAGAACAGAGAAATAAATGTTATTTAAGCCATCCCCTCTGTGGTATTTTGTTATGTGGTATTTAGTTTAACAGACTAATCACATGCTATATAGTTTTTAAATTTTATTATGTTAACAATTTATGGCCGGACGTTGTGACTTATGCCTGTAATCCCAGCACTTTGGGAGGCTGAAGTGGGTGGATCACTTGAGATCAGGAGTTCGAGACCAACCTGGCCTCGTGATCTGCTTGCCTTGGCCTCCCAAAGTGCTGGGATTACAGGTGTGAGCCATCGAGCCGAGCCCAACAACTTTCGTTTTAACACTGATGTGTCTCGAGCGCTTAGAAGAGTGCCTGGCACATAGTTGGCGCACAATATATATATTTGTTGAATGAATAAAATGTGTCGTTCCAAATTAGTGGCATCCAGTAATGGTGTTCCAATATTATCTGAGGTTAACAAAAACTAAGACCTCCAAAATATTGCACCAAAAGCAAGCAGAAGTGCTTTCTCTGGATTTAATAATTGAACGGGAGATAAGACCTTTGAAATAAAGTTAAAGGCCTTTCTACCTAGACCACAGCATTACTGAAATAGCTAATCATCACTTGAACTCTAGCATTACTAAAAGAGAAGTCAAGAAAAATCTCAAGAAAAATGCTTAAAAGTTAGCCCTTTAGGGACAATGCCATAGTCTACAGTGCAATCCTCAAATATGTACTTCCGACTTCTACCAGGAAGGTTGCTCCTAAGAGGACTTAGTTTATTTAGCACATTTCTACCCTTTGCACCTTTCCCCCACTTCTTGGGGGATTTTGCTGGTCACCTTCTAAAGCTTGCTCTCTCCCAACACCATTCTCCCAGAACTCTTTATAATAAAGTCCTTTTCCAAGGGCACTAGTTCATCATGACAGAGTAATTAAGTAGGGTGTTTATTAAGTCTGTGTCTTCAATTCTTTGAGAAGGAACAATTTAAAGTGAATGGTTAAGTATGTTTAAAATGCTTCATTGCTGCATCTTTTATTTAAAAACATTTTAAAATTTGGCTGGGCGCGGTGGCTCACGCCTGTAAGTCTACCACTTTGGGAGGCTGAGGTGGGCGGATCACGAGGTCAAGAGTTAGAGACCAGCCTGACCAACATGGTGAAACCCCGTCTCTACTAAAAATACAAAAATCAGCCGGGAGTGGTGGCACATGCCTATAATCCCAGCTACTCAGGAAGCTGAAGCAGGAGAATCCCTTGAATCCGGGAGGCAGAGGTTGCAGTGAGCCGAGATCACACCACTGCACTCCAGCCTGGGTGACAGAGCGAGACTCCATCTCCCAAAAAAAAAAAATTAAATTCTAAGATGAAGCTAAGAATTCATCTTAGAGTTCTTAAAACTGTTGAGGTCCTAGAAGCAAATCCCAACTTCTAGAGATTGTTAAGCAGATACTTTCTGCAGATGTAAGTGATTACTAGAAGTATTAGTCAGAGTATATGCTACGAGAGACTTCGGGAAAAAAGTAAAGATATTTAGCATTGCTAGCACAACCTGGGTTTAACAGAACTTCAAAAAGACACTTTAAAAGGCAATAGGCAAGCTGTATACTGTTGCATTGTATATTTACAAGGCACTACATACCTGGTTTTCATTCTGACAATACAGGGAATGACAGAAAATTGTAATGTGCTGAGGAAATGTAAATATTGTTAATGACATGCCAGAAAAGCATGTGGAAATCACTCATTTGCCCAAGTTTTAATTTTTCAAACATTTGAGTCTCAATAGAAGACGTGAAAATAGAAATGTGAAGGCTAACCTGCTTTTTTCAAAGACCAAAAATATTTACATTAAGAACAATACACAAAGCCTATATTTTAACATTAATATGACTTAATAATTATCATCTTTTAAGTTATCCCACTTTACAAAAAACCCACACGTGCAGTGAGAGGTGGATTTCAAGATGTTTTCTTTTTCTTTGGGGAAATTGCTAAGAGAAAAGCAACCATTTATGACTCATGACGTAGTTTTTACTTCATTCCTACTACTAACACAGAAAGATTTGTGCACATGTGGAATCAAGGACTTAACCAGCACCTGCCTTGACTTCTGTTTACGTACTTGAAAGTTTCCGGATACTGAACTTTTGATGTGGCGAGGAAGCCCCTGCGAATCAAGAGGCCCCTTCTCTCACTGTTTGTTCCCAGCATCCTAGGACCTGGGTCACTCTGATGATCAATTACACACACCTCTCAGTTTATGTACTTGATGGAGTTTATGTACTTGAAGGAAACCAGCTTTTTTGAGGATTTATGAAGGATTCAAGATAAATGCAAACGTGGGAAAGGAATGGGAAAGCTGCTGGGATAAGATGATTCCAATTTTCCAATTCTAGGTAATGACTATATAACTAGAAAATACTATATATTTTTTATATATATATATATTTAGTTGTATATACTATATTATTTTTTATATTACTATATAACTAGAAAATATATAGTTTCATTACTATAATATTATACTATATATATATATCTATAAAATATATATAGTATTTTCTAGTTATATAGTAATTGGGAAAATACTATATAACTTCCGTATTACTAGGGAAAATACTATATAACTTCCTTCTAAAGACCATCATTTGTTTTAACGATGCATACAACTAGCACTTGAGCAATGACTCAGGAATCTTGCCTTCCATCAACCACAGGAGATAGATGTTATTACTATCTTCGTTTCACAGGTGAGGAAACTAAGGTCCCAAAAGGTTAAGAAACTGATGCCCCAAATCACAGATCTAATTCACAGAGAAACTAGGCTCAAAGGTTCTCACTGGAAATGCATCCAAACCCTTTCCTTTCTCTCCAAGACACCCAGGTACCTTTAAGAGGGACGCTATCCTCAGCAGGTGAACCGTGGCTTTGGAAAATAAGTGATGTGAGTGGATTAAGCATTTTTCATTAGAAAGGGAAGGGTGGGTTTCGCCTGAAGAAAAAGGACATTTTCTGGTAGGAAGGAATCTTGT